ATGGCTCTTCCAGCAAGCGGACCTGACCTAGGGTGGATTTTACATTGGGTTTTAAATATTCGGAAGACGCAACATTAAAATTCGGTTTAATTCGGTTTTAAGGGGGGGATTGTATATATGTTCTGGTTTTAAATATGTTGTGCGCCGCCCTGAGTCCCTGTCGGGAGAAGGGCGGCATATAAATTAAATTAAATAAAAATTAAATTAAATAAATAATAAAAATCATTTCTATTGAAATACTTGCAATCTCTGTTTCAATATCCAAGGGCCTTTTTGTGTTCCCAATAATACCTGTGTGCTCTGTTTTCGTGTTCTTCAAAACCTCATCATATTCTTAATGAAGTGCCTGATGATTTACGGTAGATGTTAACAAAAAAATCTACAACATTTTAACTGGCTTCTGCAGGCAAGGTTCCTGAAGTTGTCAACATAGTTACTTCACTGAATTTGTTAATGAACTACCAAACGCACATTCAAAGGATTGAGGGGTGGGTGGGATTCAAATATGAGAACAACCGGTTCTCTGTGTGGATGCCGCTTCCGGAAGTCCATTCTGGGCCTGGGCAACAAAAAATTAGCTACCGGTTCTGCCGAAGTGGTGTGAACCGGCTGAATCCCACCACTGGATGGGGGGATACAATAGGGTTGGTGTAAAACACAATTGCTTAGTTTAGGCATGATTTATTGCATGAACTTTTTGGTGTATTGTGCTAAATCAGTGTTTCTCAACCGTAGCAACTTCTTGTGTGGATTTCAAATCCCAGAATTCCCAGCACTCTGGGGAATACAGGGAGTTGAAATCCAGACATTTTAAACTTCCAGGGTTGAGAAACACTGCTGTGAATTATGGCTTGTGCTTAATGTATTGCTTGCACCTTTCCGCAATTGCATAATGTTGCTTGCACATAAAAGGAATACCATGACGAATATATATATACATGTATTGTGTAAGCCTAACCATTTGGGGCTTAATTTAAAAATTCCATGGTGAAGCCTATGCTCTCACAGTACATTGGGGGATGTTGAAGCTGCTAATTTGATGCTAGCTACATTTAATTTCTTTTAGATCGGGCATGGCATAGAGCCCTGGACAGCTAGTGATGCGGCCCCAAAAGATTGCAAACCTTTAATGTTATTATGTGATTTTTTTAAACTGATATTTATGTACATTGATTGTATATTTTATACGTGGCCCAAGACAATTCCTCTTCACTCAGTGAGGACCAGGCAAGTCAAAAGATTGAACATGTCTGTTTTAAATGGAATGTTGGTAGAAGTAAAAAAAAAAAATCAACCAAAATCACTTCCAAGGTGACTATGTTTACTGGTCAGTCTTCAGATATGTTGTTAGAATCTCTTTGAAGTTTCACTCCTTGATCTAAACAGGTCAAGCAATCCATTATCTCTTAACACTAAAACTTTCAGCCACTTCTAGGAGACAGACAGAGACAAATAGACAGACAGACCTTTATTGTCATTTTTACTGTGGGCACATTGGCACACATTAAAAATAAAATTTATTTGCTTGTTCTCAAAAGTGTATACATACGTAACACACATTTAAACACGCTATATACGATGAAATGAAGAGCATATCAGAAAGAAGGTTGGTTTGTTTTGGAAGCCAATGCTACTAGTAACAGCAGCAATGAATTCCAGGTCAGCTGGCAAATTGATTTATTGAATACATGTTTTTATACAGTTTTACACCGTTCTGTAATCTGGAAGCTTAATTTTGTGTATTTGTTATTTGACTTTGGCTAGCATGTTTCACGAAGGCTATTAACGGGTGTAACATGTCGGCTTCCCTGACTTAAGCTGGTTAAACAGATGTAATTAATTTTACCCCTTTGTCTCTAGCCCGTCTAGTCCACAAGTCTTAAAGTTGCCAAGGTTGGAGACCCCTGGTCTAGAGCCCCTGGAAAGCTATTTCTGTAAATTAACAGGCTGCATTCATTGTTTTTGCTTTTGCAACAACTAGAGCCACTCAGATCTCTGATGGAACATTATTGCTTTTTCTTTAAACTGAAGCCCAGGCCAGTCTGCTGGAGGCTATTTATCTGACAGCTTTGAGTGAGAGAAGAAAAAAAAAACAAAACAAAATACAGAGATGGTGTTACTTTTTATTTTTTGCTGCTTGAGCAATTTTCTTTGGCTTTTCTATGTCTTGGAAGACTTTTGTTATAAATGGGGCTTTTCCTGTGTGTGTGTGTGTGTGTGTGTCTGTCTGTGTGTGTGTGTGTGTGTGTGCATTTTCGTCTTACAGAATGAAACTGACTGAATCTGGATGTTCTGCTTTGGATATTACGGAGCCTCCTCCCAGAAGGTAACAAAGAAAACAGGTAATTCCGTAAAGAGGGTGTGTAGTGATGATGATGATAATGATGATAATGATAATAATAATGATAATAATAATAATAATAATAATAATAATGATGATGATGATGATGATGATGATGATGTTGGGAGGGATCTTGGAGGTCATCTAGTCCAACCCCCGTTCAGGCAGGAAACCTTATACCAGGAGTCAGGTATGCTGGTTGAGGAATTCTGGGAGTTGAAGTCCACAAGTCATAAAAGGGCCAAGTTTGAAGACCCCTGCCTTATACCATTTCAGACAAACGTCTGTCCAGTCTCTTCTTAAAAACTTCCAGTGTTGAAGCATTCACCGCTTCTGGAGGCAGGTTGTTCCACTGGTTAATAGTTCTAATCATCTTAGTGTCTAGAAGTATAGTCCAATACAAAGATAGGTTGGGGAAAACCTTATTTTTGAGGTTTGAAAAATAGATCCTTGCATTGTAAAACAATCAAGAAAAAGTACATTATATTCTTCTAGCAATTCGATAGAAAATCTGAGAAAAACTAGAGGGAAAAATCCTTTCTTGTTAGGAGAGCTGCTAGCCTTTGGTCAGTAGGGGGCGTGCTTGCAATCGCAGCGTTTCCGCCTTGTTTTCTCTGGGAATCTCGTTTCATTTTCTTTTCCCGGCATCCTCAGCAAACTATAAATAGGAGCGTCGGGGCCTTTTCGTTCTTTCTTTGGCACGTGGTGGAAGGAGGTGAGTCGTGGTCAATGGTATCTCTGGCTAAATAGGGCGGTTGCGGCAGTGGCCTAGTTGATGTTTTAATAACATAAAAACATTAATTAGCGTTGCACGTCCAGATTTATTAATGTATTTATTAACTTTATGTCCCCCCCGACCCATAGCGGTTCTGGGCGGCTTTCGATATTCGTGCATCAATAGCAACAATTGCAGTGGCCGTTAGAAATTGCATAAAGAAGACTTGACTTTATAAGAGAAATCATTTATTTTTAATCAAGGTAACTTAAAGAAGTGTTTTGAAAAAGGGCAAAGTGAATCTTACACAGATTTATGCACTTCAGCCTTTGTCCGCCCATCCCCGAATTATTATTAAAAGATATTCCCCCCCCCTCTTTCCCATGCAGAACTGATGCAAAATAGATGATCGTCTGTTGAATATTTATTTTCTTTGAATTAGCTCTAAGTCCTTTTAGAGGGAATAAAAGAAGGTTCTGTGAAGAATTATTCGAAATACAATCGGGTTGGGAATAGGGAAAGTTTACTGTTTATTGAAGCTTCAGTAATCTACCTAATTAATTAATGGTGACCTTGAAGCGAGTTGGGTTATTTTCTTCACTCAAACTCTCATGTGTGCCTCCTTGATAAAAATAATAGTTCCTTTATTCTGAAAGCGTGCTTAAAGTTGAGCTTTAATGTGCTCAGAAGTTTTAGTAGTTAAGCATTTATGTGCATGGCTGGATCATGGGTTATGTTGAATTGTGCCTTTTTGAGCCATTATTTATAGAATCAGTTATAATTGTCTTTAGGTGTGCACATTTTAAGCACATACTATAGCTCCCAAAGCTGCATGGCTATATCTGTAAATGCGTTATGACATTGTTTCCAGAGTTGTATTCATTTCTAATGTAAGTTTTATTGCAGGCAAGAACCTTGTTGGTTCCTGTTTGATGCTCCTGAAAATGCTCCTTAACTCAAAGATGAACACTTCGGAGCATAAAGGTATTAATAAACTTTCCCTTTTTATTTTTTAAGTTTTGATGCCCATAGTTCTAATTAAATTCATATAAATGTAGGGATGTATTCAACATGATTGGTTCCAACAAGGATACCTGGAGAGATGGCACTCTCTCAGCTCTGTCCCTGTGGCGTATGGGAGCGTAGGCTTCTGTCCTATGACGTATGGTCCCCTTCCACACTGTTGGAGAACAAGTTGGATCTTCCATGTCCACAGCCTGCATATTCCTACTGCTTCTCTGAGTCTTTGGGCTGTGACAGAGGAGATAAACCATGCAGGAAACATACTTGATCAAGCAAAAATGGCTTTCCAAGCAAACACAAATATGTCTGGTTATATTACTTTTGGGATACTTGGAATTTTGTGTATGTACTCTGATGTGGTTGTGGGGTAGGTAGTTGGTTGGAATTCCCTTAAAGAATGGTGGTATAAAAGAAATTGGGGGAAAAGTACAGACCTGTTGTTGCAGTTAAACTTTTGTCACCCACTCTGCTTTCTTTTCCATGCAGGCAGCCTTCTGGTTTGGTTGAACTTTGCTGCTGATGGAACGTCTTATGGCACTTGATACATCCCCCTATTTGCCCTTCTGGCCATTTTCAGATCATGGACAATGTTTGATGCTGTGAATATAATCTGGTTCAAAAGCAGAAGGTATGGGATTTCCTGGGCTCCTTTAGCTGTACAGGCAGTTTGGCATCCCTTGGGGGTCTATAGGTAACAAGAGGTCACTGTTAACATAAATTTTCAGCAATAGAACTTTAGCACTATATTGTTTTCTTAAGTGTCATAGCAGGCCTCTAGCTGGACTGAAACAAACACCATAAATTGCCCGATCATTTATTTCAGGTATGTTGAAAGACTTTAACCAGGAACAAGCCTACAACAGTGGTGTTACAAGCATAGGCTTGCACACCTATATCCTAGCTCCAATGCTTAAAACCAAAATCAAACTTGGAAGGGTATGATCTGTGGTGCCTTAGATTTGACTGAATCGTGCCTTGCTATTGTTCTTGCTGGGAATTCTGATGTAACAATCTGGATCAGTGCAATGTTTTTCTCCTATTAGACTCTTGCAAAATCTGTAACTGAAGTTGCTTTTGTTGGAAATGTCTACTTGAAATAGCACATGGGGCTTCCCAAAATGCTGATTTCTAGGTGGAGAGGTGACTTTTTAAGATACTGTTGGCCTCCTATTTCTTTTCAGTTTTATCTTGAGCTACAGTTATGTGAAATCATGAAGACTAGCCACACTTCCAGCAATGCAGCAATTTGTGGTTCACATAATCCAGCGGGGACACCTGGAGAGGTTGTGCTCTCTCAGCTCTGTCCATGTGGCGTATGGGAGTGTAGGCCTCCGGGCTCCATGACATACGGTCCCTTTCCACACTGCTGGAGAGCAAGTTGGACCTCCGTGGTCTGCAGCCTGCATATTCCTACTGCTTCTCTCAGTCTCTGGACTGTGACAGAGGAGATACACCATGCAGGAGACATTCTGATTGCATCCTTAATGCCTGTCATTTCTGCATACTAAAATGGAACCTTCAAAGAACCGTGAAGGAGACACAAACTTTATAACCCAACCAGGAATGTAGCAAGAGCCACAGATTGAAGATGTTAACATATTTTGTATTTCTGATTCTGTATTTCAGCAAGCTTGAAAGCCCAGCCAGGAAGATGGCAGTGGCAGCTCATTTTTGAAATGTGTGGGAGAAATATTTTGGGAAACCCCCCCCCCAGGTACTTGTGTGATTTTTTTTTTCTCCTGTGTCTCGTTCACATTGTAACCAGCATTTCAGGGGTGGTGGTCTTCAAGGATGTCTAATAAAAGCTTTTTTTCCTCTGCTTATGATCAGAATACAGGTAATCTGGTTAGTTCTCAACTTATGACACAAACGGACCAGCATTTCTATTGCTACGTAAGTTTAAATGAGTCATCCTGCTTCTATTTTTGGCCACATTTGTTAAGAGAATCACATTTGTTAAACGAATCCAACTTCCCCTCTCATTGACTTGGCTTGTCCAAAGCCATGCTGGTTGCTGATTTTTGTCGCACGACTTTAGGGATGCTGCAACAGTTGTAACTGAGACATGAATCATTTTTTTCAATGCTGTTATAACTTTGTACAGTCATTAAACACATGGTTGTAAATCGAGGACTATCTGTATATTGCTCCATTGTCCCCCTCTTGGAGAAATGACAGTGGTCTCTGATGTATTCCCCCAACAGGGACACCTGGAGAGGTTTCTCTCTCAGCTCTGTCCATGTGGCGTATGGGAGTGTAGGCCTCCGGGCTCCATGACATACGGTCCCCTTCCACACTGTTGGAGAGCAAGTTGGATCTCCATGGTCTGCAGCCTGCATATTCCTACTGCTTCTCTGAGTCTCTGGACTGTGACTGAGGAGATAAACCATGCAGGAGACATTCTGATTGCATCCTTTCCTTTCCTTTCCTTGTTCTATGCTTGGGGTATCCAGCCTTAACAATGTTTTAAGACTTCCAAGTCCTGGAATCTGGGAGTTAAAGTCCACAAGTTTTAAAAGTAGCCAAGTGTTAATGTTTCTGGGGTTTCTGGGAGTTGAAGTTCACAAGTCTTAAAGTTGTCAAGGTCGAACACTCTTACTCTATGCTTCACTTCATGTTAAATGTTGTTTTATTCTTAGTATGAGCTTTCTGGATTTTGAACTGAAGAACCTAATTTACAGTTCCTTGCATGTTTTCATAAAATGAAAACAGATGTTAGGATTTTATTTGTAAGTTGGTCTCAAGTTGTCCAACCGACTCTAGATGAAGTACAATATTTACTGAAAACAGCAATGTATTAGTTAATTGGGATCATATTTTGCATGACCTTAAGGGGATGAAATTCCTGCTTTTAGTTAATGCAGCCGTTCCCAACCTTTTCTATACCCCGTGCCTCTAGAACGCTTCTGATATATTCTCGCACCCCTTACAAAAGTTTGAAATAACGGCAACGAATTATGCATATACACTATAATTTTGAAACTTCTAAACCCAAGTCCCCCCCCCCCCCCCCCCGGAATATCATCTTGCACCCCCCCGTTGGGAACCTCTGAGTTAATGGGTATTTTTCTGCTGAATTGAATTACTGAGATCTGTAGCTATCAAAAATCTAGTTCTAGACTCTTAAAATATGCTCATTTTTGTTTGCTTTTTCCTCGTCAGGTTATTTTAAAGGAAAATACTGAAAGCATGAATTGTTCTCAGTATTGCTGTGGAAGAGAAACTACTTGGACAAGCTTGGAGAAATAAAAGTGTTAGACGAAGCAGCGTCCGATAGAAGGCCGGCAGTAATGAACCAGCCAGAGCACAGAACAACTCAAAGCAATGCAAGATTGGAAGTTGAGGAGAGACCTGGCCAAGAGTTAGAATGGCCAAGAGTTAGACACAGCTGAATGGATAACATCAATTTTTATGCAACGCAGACTGCAGCAGCAATTACAGTGCGGGTTATAGAACAAAACTGCATCTGCGATTAAACAGTACAAACTTGAGTTATTTGGTTTTTCTTAGTTTGCCGTGAGAACTTTATTTTGTAAATAATGATGTAAGCAATAGTGGCAAATATCTGTAGCTCGGGTGTAGGATGAGGGTAAAGGTTCATTTACGGCAGGGCTCTGCGACCTTGACAACTTTAAGATTGTGGACTTCAGCTCCCAGAATTCCTCAGCCAGCTATGCTGGCTGAGGAATTCTGGGAGCTGAAGTCCACAAGTCTTAAAGTTGTCAAGGTTGCAGAGCCCTAGTTTAGGGGATCCTTAAACACTGCTGAAGATGTTACCTAGTCTGGTAACGAAATATTCGGAAACCAACCCAGAAGCTCGGAGAACGAACCTTCACCCGCATAATGACATCTATGAACCTACTAATTTGAATCCAGACAAGCTGCTTTAACAAACCCTGCTTAGCCAAATTTTGGAGATTCTGCTTGATGCAACTGCCGTGGCTGGGGATCTTTAGCTGAACAAAAGGCGTTAAGAGGAACATAATCCTGAATTCCTCTGCCTTTGTCAGTTCTTTTTATATATTACTGATACTTGATAATTGGGTATTTTTGTTTTCCCCTCTTAACATTGGCTTATGGCTTTGTGAACCTGTATATATTTACAAAGAAATATATGTATTAAAGACCAGTACCGTTCATTTTATATGCAAGTCTTCATGTTATTGATTACTTAAGCTATAATTCGTTTTAACACCATTACAGAAATAGTTCTCCCATGTTTTATCATGATCACTGACTTGGCCAAAGTTGAGAATTTATTACCCCAACTTACATGGTACATTTCTGTACAATCTGAGCAACTTGCAGTATTCGAATCAAGGTTAAAACAAAAATTGATCAATTGCATGTTCGCCATCTGATGGGCACCATTTGAAATAGCCTGATGTTACTCCCCCCCCCCCCCAATGCTCGAAGTGTTATATTTTATGGTTTGCAATCTTTAGTTTGCTTATTGAGAGTAGCTGGAAGTTCACCTATTAATGGATGGATACTTCAATTTTCCTGGCTTGCCACTTAACATTTGAAACTTTCCTCATCCAGCTGCTTCGAAGTGCTCTGAAACTTCTTATGCTTCTTCGTAAAAACGTAGTGCACAATCTTTTTAAGAATGAGGAAGTGGATTTTTGGAAATGATAGGATCTGATTAATTGTATTTTTAGCCTACTCTTCAGCCAAGAATTATAAACAAGATTCCTAAGCCTTTTTTTCTGGTGTAGCAACCCTCTAAGATAAGGTTTGTGCAATACCAGTTTTCCAAAACCTACTCATCACACCACCCTTGTATCTATTCAAATACCAATTGCAATTTATGAGTTAGACTTTGGAATGTGATTTTTCAAGCCTGCACATCCAATGAATTTGCAAGTTCCCAAGACAACAGCCAGTTTGATGTGGTTAACTGGGAGATGGGGAGTTCTAGTCCTGCCTTTGAAAACAGGTCAGCTGATAACCTTGGGCCTCACCCTTTCAACCCTAACAAGCAGGGAATGGCAAACCACTTCTGGAAAACCATTAAAAATTGCAGGGATCTGTCCAAGCTGTGCCTGAGAATTGCACCCAACTGAGCAAAAAAAGGTCCCAAGTACTTTTAAGGGCTGATAAATTATGAACAAGCACTTTGATTTTGCCCCTTCGATGTACCAGATTATGAGCGCAGTTTTCATCTGACCCAGTGAAGCGTTTTTCCCTTTTTTTGTCTAGAGAAAATTAAACGGGCAAAAAAAAGCTTGTAGAGGATTACTGCACCGTGGCAGTTTATACTA